CGAAGTTGTTGGATATTAGTGGGAACTGGTACACGCTGTCGTATATGCCGGTCAAGCACATCCCAAACATGCTCAACGGGTGACATGTCCGGTGAGTGTGCTGGCCATGCAAGAACTGGGACATTTTCAGCTTCCAAGAACTGTGTACAGATCTTTGCAACATGGGGCCGTGCATTATCTTGCTGAAACATGATGTGATGTTCATGGATGTACGGCACAACAATGGGCCTCAGGATCTCATCACGGTATCTCTGTGCATTCAAAATGCCATCAATAAAATGCACCTGTGTTCTTTGTCCATAACAGATGCCTGCCCATACCATAACCCCACCACCACCATGGGCCACTCGATCCACAACACTGACATCAGCAAAGCGCTCACCCACACGACGCCACACACGCTGTGCCATCTGCCCTGAACAATGTAAACCGAGACTCATCCGTGAAGAGAACACCTCGCCAACGTGCCAGACGCCATCGAATGTGAGCATTTGCCCACTCAAGTCTGTTACGGCGACGAGCTGGAGTCAGGTCAAGACCCCGATGAGACGACGAGCATGCAGTTGAGCTTCCCTGAGATGGTTTCTGACAGTTTGTGCAGAAATTGTTTCAACCATTGTTTCAGCAGCTGTCTAAGTGGCTGGTCCCAGACGATCTTGGGAGGTGAACCTGCTGGATGTGGAGGTCCGGGACTGGTGTGGTTACACGTAGTCTACGGTTGTGAGGCCGGTTGGACGTACTGCAATATTCTCTGAAACGCCTTTGGAGACGGCTTATGGTGGAGAAATGAACATTCAATGCACGAGCAACAGATCTGGTTGGTATTCCTGCTGCCAGCATGCCAATTGCACGCTCCCTCAATGCTTGTGGCATCTGTGGCATTTTGTTGTGAGACAACTGCACATTCCAGGGTGGCCTTTTATTGTGGGCAGTATAAGGTACACCTGTGCACTACTCATGATGTCAGATCAGCATCTTGATGTGGCACACCTGTGAGGTGGGATGGATTATCTCAGCAAAGCACAGGTGCTCACTATCACACATTTAGACTGATTTGTGAACAAAGTTTGAGAGAAATGGTGATATTGTGTACCTGGAATGAATTGTAGATCTTTAAGTCCATCTCATGAAAAATCGGAGCAGAAACAAAGGTGTTACGTTTATATTTTTGTTGAGTGTAGAATGACTTACTGAGAGAACTTGACTTGATATCCATGAGCTCCTCCTCATCCTGAAGATGTTCCATATCCTCCTCTTTCATGAGAAACGGGTCCATCACCCATGCGTTTTTTGTGACGAGTTTTTTTATGTCTGAAAATGAGGATGCCCTGCGATGGACTGGCTCTCTATCCAGGGGTGTACTCCGCCTGATTGCCCATTGACCGCTGGAGATAGGCACCTCTCACTGACAAAAGTAGTCCGGGCAAAGGTGGTTTCACGGTACAGTACCTCGCATTTTCCACGAGGCTGCTCTGGTGCAGCTTGTTAGTCCCACAGAGGTTTTGGTGCCGTTTCATTTATGCACTTACAAGTAATTTTTAAAAAAGCTCAAATGAATAAAATCTGAATTTTAAAAGGCTGTAATTTGATGTTACAATTATCAGTATAACTATCTAATTACCTTTTTGTCTAGAATATTCAGGACCCTGTTACAAAGGTGTCCCAGAGTGGTCTGGTTAGTCTGTGACCATACCGTAGCTCCGTAAGACAGACGAGAAAAGATCACAGAGTTTAAAATATATGTGCACATTCCGACGTCAGGAAGTATCTTATGATTTTAAAACTGTTCATATTTGATCTGACAACCTAGCAGGTTTTTTAACATCCATCCATTTCCATCCGCTTATCCGGAGTCGGGTCGCAGGGGCAGTAGCCTAAGGCGAGAGACCCAGGCTTCCCTCTCCCCAGCCACTTGGGCCAGCTCCTCCGGGGGAATCCCAAGGTGTTCCCTGGCCAGGTGAGAGACATAGTCCCTCCACCGTGTCCTGGGTCTACCTTTAGGTCTCCTCCTAGTTGGACGTGCCCGGAAAACTTCACCAGGGAGGCGTCCAGGAGGCATCCTGACCAGATGCTCGAGCCACCTCAACTGGCTCCTCTCGATGTGGAGGAGAAACGGGTCTACTCTGAGCCCCTCCCGGATGACCGAGCTTCTCACCCTATCTCTAAGGGAGAGCCCAGGCACCCTGCGGAGAAAACTCATTTCGGCCGCTTGTATCCGCGATCTCGTCAGTCACTACCCAAAGCTCGTCGCCGATCTACGTTCCTACCCACATCTATGGTTTTTTTAACATGACTTTTAAAATTTAACTGAGAGTCTAAAATACTTCCAAAGTATTTCTCTTCCTGAACTTGTAGAACTTATAGAAATGGTCAAGGTGTTTGCACAGGGTATACGCAGGGATCTCAAAATTAAATTTGAGACATTTTCAAGACTTTTTAAGACCTTCTAAAAATAAAAGTAAGACTTTATAACAAAGAACTAATCAACTGTTCACCACTCATTCTCCACTTCACGTCGGGTTACGCCACATCCGGGACAGCGAGGCGGTAGCAATAATACGTAAAGCCACGTGGTGCAAAAATGCAAAAAGAGCGCACAGAAGAACAAAAAATAATTTTATTAGTTTGCACGCATCTATTTTTCATACCTGTGAACTCAGAGTCTGTGAAAAAAGTGACAACTAAATTAACTCCCCCTGTAGGGTTAGCATACGTACTTATTTTGGGCGCTTTTTAAGTAAAAAGATCTATTCTGCCTTTTATCTCCAACATCACCGTTAAATACACATAAAGTTATTATATAATTGATGTTTTATATATTCTATTTGAATTCATCTTAAACAAGCAAACAGCAAAAGTTTTAATGCTGTTTCTCAGCTCCTCTCCAGCTACCACAGCTTAACTCAGACTGGACCTTCTACTGTGGCTCTGAGTAACTTTAGTTACAGTTACTTTAAACAATCAACTGATTTTATAAATATAGACAGGCCCACTATAAAATAATGAAGGTTTAAGCAGCTTTTTTACATTTTCACTGAATATTTGTGTTGACTTTCCACAACAGAATGATGGTAAGAGTACCCGTAAAATCTTTAGATCTATTTATGTTTATTTTCACTGATAACACCTCACTGAAACAACACTTTAACTCAACCCCCCCCCCCCCCCCCAAAAAAAAAAGCACAAGCCTCGGGGAACATCGGTTAAGGCTGACACTGAAAGGAGACAGACCTGCTAAAGTTCTGGACAGAAAACTGACGTATCTGGAGGGGATTTTGTTTGATTTTACGAACTTTAAGCTCCAGCCGCAGCGAGATGTTGAAGCAACAGTAGCAGTGGTGCCGTGATACCGGCTACCGCATCGTGTTTTTGCCCAGCTGTCTCTGTGACTGGTCAAATGACAACTTGTGATCCACTAACAATGATGGTTTGTGAAGAGGATGAACACTCCTCGTTTTTCTGAAACTGATTCTAATAAAGAGCGACTGAAACCCGACCAAAGACTCACCTTCCCTAAAACAAAAACTCTTTGATTCACGTGAACGTTACATTTGGCAATTAACGGCAATTTTCACTGAAAAGCGTCAAGTTTGCAAGTATGAGACAAACGTATTTTAAATTCACGTCAATACGAACCAAATTTAAGACTGTACTAAATCCATTTAAGACTTTTTTAAGACTTAAGGGTCTTAACTTGCCTTTAACCAAATTCAGGACTTTTAAGACTTTTTAAGACCCCGCGGATGCGCTGGTGCAGCAGACTCTTTCATGGAGAAGCAGATACATTTTGTTTTTGTTTGTGATAAGAATTAAGTCGGAATCCTGAAGCAAAATCTTCGTTAAACTTTCAGTTAATTTATCACTAACTGTGTCTGTCATAGCCGGAGCTCGCCTGTGTACCAGGCAGTGACTATTTCCCGTCATAGAGGCAGCTCCATCTGTGCAGCGTGCCTCTAAATTATTATAGGATGGATCGTGTTTTGTGAAATGTGTGTTGACAATACAAATATAATCCTTGTGATGGCTGTTAAAGTGATTGTTTTCAGTTCAGCCTTTTCAACGAGAGGATCCTGCCCTACAGTTTCATCACGCTGGATATAGGGATGGGTACCGAATTCGGTACTTTTTAAGGTACCGACCGAGCACCGATTCACTTCATTTGAAACGGTGCCTCGTTTCGGTATTCGTCCTTCACAACGAGAACTTGCCTAGACAGCTGTGCATGCGCAAGAGCGTTATGTCATCGGTCGCTGCGAGCGAGTTGTAAACAGAGCAGCATGGTAGAAAGAACGAACGCTAAAGCTTGGGTCCACTTCACTAAATGTGATGGGTAACTGGGTGAAGATGAAACCAGCGACAACGATCTAAGTGTGAGGCATCATCGTTTAAATCTGCTCCAGCAGTTAAATAAACTGTTTAAGATAATGTTAGCTTGGTATGTTAGCTTCCTATGCCACCATTGTTATCATCTAATGGTGCGTTCGCTTTCTCCTCGGAAATTCTAACTTCCCAGTAGGAAAAATCAATTGAAAAAAGATGGCAAAAGGAATGAAGATACACAGTAAATTTAGTTCACAGTAAAGATGTTTGCTTCAGTTTAATTATCAGCTTATAAAACTACAAGGACGATGATAAAATACAAACAGTTGTATGTTATTTATCGTGATATTTATCAAATATGGTTATATATTGAGAAAAATATATATCTAATTATAAAAGAGAATTAAAATATTAAACACTCAAAAGTATCAAAAATTGGTACCTTTAAGTACCGGTATCGATTCCTAGGTACCGGGAATTAGTACCGGATCGATTCAGATGTCAAAGGTACCCATCCCTAGCTGGATATGGAGAGAGCACTCAAACCAAGCAATAGTTGCTTGGTTTTGGTCACTCCCAGCTCGGGCAAAGCTGTCCATAATGTTGTGGTTCTGTTGTGGGAACCCAGGATTCTTTAAAGAAACCACAGCAGTCTAAAGTCATGCTTTCATATCACTCACCTGAACTTCTCCCAGTTGTTTCATCAGCTCCTGCAGATAAAACAGGGTGGTTAAAGATCATCCAAGTCAATGGCAGGAGGAGAGTGTGTGTGTGTGTGTGTGTGTGTGTGTGTGTGTGTGTGTGTGTGTGTGTGTGTGTGTGTGTGTGTGTGTTACTTGTGATCGTGGCCCAGGGACTGTGGTTTTCATTAGAGGCCCGTCATAGTCGTAGTCCAGCTGGGCCTTTGCTGCAGCCTTACTGATGTATCTGCTCCCTGTTGAAAGAACATAAAACACTGGTCAATCAGCACAGGAGGCGTGACACAGGTTCAAACTCACTAAAGAATAGGGTGTGATGCTTCCTGACTTAAAGCCCACTGAATCACTTCCATGTCAGGGTGACAAAAACAGAGTTCACGTCGACATTTTTCACATGATCGCAGCAGAACCTGCAGAGGATAACGCTGCAAGCAGGATAATCCACGACAAGGTGCCAAAACCACATGAAGACAAATGTTTTAAACTGTGTGTGCCCACCTTCATTCGTAACTATGAAGGCAAGTTAAGGGTCTGCTTTGGGTTACAAAACGATACATGCTAGCTCCTTATTGGGACAGTGAGTAAGTAACAACGGCATCACTTCAGAAACAAACTCATGATATTAAAGCTTGGCATTATAAGGGAAGGAGGAGAAGATTTGGAAATTTGAACAACTATAGCTCCACCCCCCCCACCCCCCACCCCCACCCCACACACACACACACATCGTTTGACTGGGAAGTCACGTTGTCTTTTCTCCCAATTCTTTACAGAAAATGACGAGAAATGTACACGAACAAACTCTAAAAACAGAAAGAGCTTTGAAGACAAGGTAATGTTTTTTCCTGCCTTCAAACTGGATCAAATGTTTATAAATGTTGCAGCAGACGATTGTTTCTTTTACATTCACATTTACGGAGCAAAAACAACTTGGAAACGATGACTGATGATTAAGTGGTATACAGAAAGTTGATATCTAACTGAATAAAAGTGTTTTAGTTTTAGAGCAGATGTGGTTGGTTGTCCTTTTAACATGAACATGAAAACGTAATAAAAATATCATATTTATTTGTTTTCAAACATCCCAGATGTAAAACTGATGGGTGTGATGCAGCAACACATCTGGTCTTCAATCAGCCTAAAAGAGAACATGTTCGTTGAGCTTCTTTGGCTACCGCTAGCTCAAATCGCTAACACTAGCATACAAAGTCCTGGTTGGTACGGCTCCCATCTAACTGAATCCTCTTGTAAAGGCTTATGTCACGGCTCGGCCACTACGGTCACCAAAGTATCGTCGGCTAGTGGTGCCTACACCACGCTCAAGACAATCCAGACTCTTCATGTGGAACGACCTACCAAGCACTACCAGAACAGGAGCGTTTTTGTCCATTTTCAAGAATCTCCTGAAGACCCAGCTCTTCAGAGAGCACCCGTCCCCCCACTCTACGGTCCACTCCTTGTTCGCTTCCCTTTAAGATTCATTATGTTGCCTCACTTCTACCTAGGATTGACTCAGTGCTGTTTGTTGTGTTAGCCTCAAGGGCAACCTGCTGGCTTGATTATCACCTGTAAGTCGCTTTGAACAAAAGCATCTGCTAAATACATAAACATGATGGCTAATCAGTCCCACTGCTGTAGGACTGAATAATTCTACACTTTACGTGCCACCGGAGTTTTCCCCTTTCAGAAATTAGGTAAGATTTTTCAGAAATCTGTAAAAGTGATTATCTTATCATGTACTGCGATATAATGTGAGCAATTCGTCTTTTTTTTTGCTAAGCATGCACCCCGTCCTGCAGAGCGCCGTGAAATAGGAAACTGAGCGCCGACCAGAACTAACCAATAGCGTTAGACTACCGCTTACATGCTTCAAATTTAAGGAATCCCTTGGCTGATGCAGAGTTGATGAACTTTTCACGGACAAGCAAGTCTTTAAAACATAAATATATGAGAACACAACATGACATGAGAATAATACTCGTAAAACAACGTGTTTTCGCTGTGTGTCGGCTACAGAAGCACATTTATTAACAAGAAACGTGAAGTCGCCATCTTTAAAAAATGGAAGGAGTGTGACACGCTTAGCTGCCACTAGATGGTGCCATCGTTCAGTGAAATACTCCGGAAAGAGGCGTCAAGGCAAATTTTACAAAATGACATGGAAGAGTTGTGCGACACAACGAATCGATGACGCAATTCGTTGCCAACGCTTTTAGTAATCGATTTTCATCGAATTTATCGATTCGTTGTTGCAGCCCTAGACCTGTCCTCCAGTTTTGCTTTTCATTGTGGAAGTAATAGCAGGGTTTCTGCCAGGCTTTGCTTGGTCACCCGCCAGGCTAAGCGTACCAACCGGAGGGTTGCAGATTCGGGCCCCATCTGTCACCGTTGGTGTACTTGGGCAAGATACTTGGCCTGCCTGTGGTGGTCGGGGAGACCGGTGGCGCCTCGGGCAGCCTCGCTTCTGTCAGTGTGCCCTAGGGCAGCTGTGGCTACGGTGAAGCTCATCACCACCAGTGTGTGAATGACTGGATGTGTTGTGAAGACTCTTGGTGAGGTTTTAGAACGCTAGAAAGCAGTGATGCACCGATATGAAATTTTGGGGCCGACACGATATCCGATATTAATATCACTGTTATGGCCGATACCGATATACTGACATTAATACGTCTAAAATCAGCAGATTTTGTATTGAATTAAATTATTGAAGCTGAATTTACATTATTATGTACACACAACACACACATACACACACATCTACAGTTCTGAGATGATTTCATTCACAAGACTTAGCAATTACACATCATCCCCTCACCCTCTGAAACAGGCAAACAAATGGAGATGAGATGGAAAAACTATCGGTTGTTAATATCGGCCCGGTTTCATTTATCGGGCCGATACCGATACTGATGCCGATGTATTGTCCATCCCTACTATAAAGCCATTTACGATTGTACCATGATAGTATTTGTCTTATGTACTTATTATTGTTTCTGATAAATGTGAAGATCAGTTTAAACGTGTAATGCTCAAATTTAAAATGTCAAAACTTCAAACTAAAAGTATAATAAAGCTACTCTGTTGTAGCCAGGATGGTTAAAAATCTAAATAATTAATAATAATAATAAATAATCTCCTGCTTCACGAACCTGAAGTCACTGTAATGGTTCTGGGTAATCATGTTTCCTGTCTTTGTGTGTGGCCAAACATGGAGTTCCTGAGTGCTGACTGAACGACCTTTGACACCACAATCACAAATTGCTAAGCACAGTCAAACATTCATATTGATTATAAAGCACTGCCCTTTGTACATCTTTGTTTCTCTGAGAACATCACAGATATCGGTATTTTACGTTTAGAGGTGAGAAGGGATCAAAGTCCACTCACACAGCAACCATGAGCATTAAAGCCAGGTGGGAAATCTTTATGTGCTTTACTGAAGAACAGGCTTCCTGGACAGAGTTCCATGTTGGATTGCAAAAACATTTTTATAGGTCATAGCAGAGCTCAAAGGGAAGATCTCTTCGTAAAAACTGAAAAGCAACGAGGAAACTAAGGAATTTGTTGTAAAATTCTTATTAGCTGAAAAAATTGCTCGTTTACATTCTGGTTCATCTATCCAAGGTGTTTGTGCCGGGTTTACCTGCAGCGCTGAGACGAAAGTTGTTTTGCAGGGAGAGAGTGAGCTGACGGCTGATCAAGGAGGTCGCCATGACTAATGCAGCCGCTGACAGGAGGACGTGTGTGAGACCCGAGTGACTGGCTTCACTCAGCCACCTGCAGACAAACAGAGGAGGGAAGTTATGATGTTTCCCGTGGAAGGGAAGGACAGAAAACCAGGCAGAAGGACAGCTGGCAGAGAGAAATCAGAGGAGGCAAAGGTCTGATTTCTGCTGGTGGGCTGGCTAAAGACAGCAGCAGCACTTCTGAACCCAGCTCAGCTCAGCGGAGAATCACAGCTCATCACATGGTAGAGTCAAATATTACCTACAGTAGCGACCCACCATGTTCACTGACTTCTTAAATATGAAGTGTGTATTTTAGACAACTTGTGACATTTCAGAGCCTGTGGAGCCACTCATGTCATCTGAGCAAAAGCACAATGCTGCATAATGCAGCTGATCTCAGTGGTGCACACACGAGAACAACAAAACATCAAACTTCTGCTCCAGTGTCGAGGAGAGAGGTGTTGAACACAGCAGCTCCTTCTCTTTTTTCATCTCTTATGTAACGCGGCCAGCAGGAACATTCTGGTTATCCCCTTCACACAGAATAGAAAACCCCAACCCCTAAACACACACACACACAAACACACACATTCACACACGCACACGCACATTCACACACTGTGTACACACACACAACTCACCACACATTCATGCACACTCAGACAGTCTCTCAGCAACGACTCGTGAACTGGATGAAACTGGTTTAGGTTGTGAGAGTTACACAAGACTGCATCTACCAGGCTGGCGGGGCGGGGGAGTTACATGAGGGATGGCTGAGATTGAACCGCAGCAGAGTTGGAACAGAGGCTCGCCCTGCCACCTGCACGTTGATTATGGAGAAACAATGGTTGTGTAGCCCAGACTCTACGAGTAAAGGTAAAGCCCTTTAAGGGTTGCCACCGATCACTACCCCACCTACGGGCCAGGCCCCAGCTCGGTACTGACCCTTTGCACCTACGTCCTCTTATCACGTGGCTCCACTATGCCACACTATCCGGCAGTATTGAACTGAGACCTAATTTGATGACTGAGGATGTTTTTTTTTCTGCCAGTTTAGTCTTCTACTGGTTCAAGCCCAGTTCATGCGTGTGAAGTTTTAGCACACCTAGGGGATGCTCATAGAGGGCAGTGTTAACAAAACGTAAGTTTACGAACATTAGTTTACATCCTCCCTGCTGCGGTTCACAGATGTAAACAGGTTGCCGACTGCCAGAGTTCACCCGCCGGACGTGTTACAACAGCTTTTCACTCGGTTCGTGTTCGCGGCAAATCTGAAAATCCTTTGAAGGCTGTTAGTCCGTTACCGCTGCGGCTCATCTCCATCTTTGGTCTCCATCAAAGTTGTTCAAAAAAAAGACGTGAGTGTAGTTTACACCCTTGTCTGTTAGCGCAGCCAACCTATTACCATTTTATTGTTGAATCAAATACATAGAAGCGCTAAAAAGCTGCAAACTGGCTTGTTAGGACTAACTTCCCAGGAGTTTCAACATGTGTAAACGGTCTTCCTGCCATTCATCACAGAGAAGGAGGCGGTCCCGTGAGCGGAGTGACACCTCGTGCAAAGGGTCAATAAAATGGACTGAGGACCGTTAAACATTTCCAAAGGCTAATAAGCCACCCTGGACCAGAGAGGCCCACTTTTTTAAAGGACTGATAACAGGGCCACAGAGAAGGCAGCTAGGTCGCTCACTTTTTTAACAGAAGTTAGAGCTGGCAGCAAGGCGACAGGAACTTGAGCAAATCCTGAACCGTGGCTCAAACAGTGTTTTAGCCAAAGTGTGTCAAATCACTGTTAATTCCCAATGAGGGACTCGCAAGCGGGACACGGGTCTGTGTCTTCTAACACCTCTCAGTTAACATTTCATGAGTGGATGATTAAAAACTGATCAGTCTGCAAACCCCTGAAAACAGGAGACTGCTGCAGCACGTTTTAATGGTGCTGACGGCTACACCTCTATCCATCAGCACCTGCAGAAGGCAGAAAATATTGGGTAACAGACAAAAGAGGGGGTCTACACCCTGCTCCTCACATCAGCACTGAAAAACAGCCATTTAAGGAGGTTTTCCAGAAGCGCTACTCAGGTTCGGTATTTTCCCTCTACTTTCTTCCCCATTTTTAGTCCCTGCGTCAGGTACCCGTTGAGGTACCTGGCAAGGCTGAGTCGGGCTGGCATCGTTACTCTGGCCGCTGACTGGCTAGGGGGCGGAGTCAATGGTTGCTCCCGAGTTTTTTTGCCTTCTGATTCACTGCTTGCAGCCATTTCCTGATTCAGACAGTATGACAAAATGCCATAAAACTGAGCAAAATGTCCAGCAACACCACCATTTTTCAACCGAGTCGTGCTTCTGTGGAGCTTACAGGTTACCTTACACTGTTTACTGATCCCCTCATGCTCTTTTTCAAGAGTAAAATTCCCCCTCAAACCATGCTGTACAGAGCTGTTTTAGGATGAGTAGCGCTCCTGGAAACCCGGCTTTAGGAGAATAGAATGCTTTATTGGAGAAAGAATGGAGTTGTGCATACTTCATCATGAGAGAGCCCTGAGGTGTCTAAGAGCATTCGTTCAGCAGCTGAACCCAAAGTTGATGGCCTATTGCTGGGGGGTGGCTGATCCCCCGTCAACTTGGAGGAGAAAGGCCTCCCTCCATTGCAGCTGCCACATCCAGGCCGCTACGAGCAGCTGTAGATCTACAAACCACGGTACAGAACTGCGCCTGGGAGCCATCATTACTGATAGCTGCTCTGCCCAAACCCGATCCAGGAACCGCAGAACCAGCGGTCCTGGGTGGGAATGCATGAAGAATCTGCCTGGGCCATGGTTAGTGGGAGAACGTGTCCACTCCCAGTGGAAGCTCGTCAAGTGTTCTCAAGAACCACAACTGACACAACGTGTTCTTGCACACGGCGTCCAAGTCCACTGGGGCTTTCCCGTACCTGTTCCAGACCCGAACAATAAGATCGGGGGGGGGTAATCTGAGTGACACTGTACCTACCCTGGACATGATGTTCGCCCCCACGTTCAGGACACCCAGAATGAAGATTGCCCTGATTAACAGCAGGTGTACAAGAGCCAAGCACAGCACTCTCCTGGCCTCACGCTGGAGTGGAGCTGAATGAACCCCACTCCTGTGTTGCTGCTACCTGATTGTCCATGTGAATGAAAACACGAAGACCCTTGAGCAGAGAGGCGGTGTCTGAACTAAACTGGCAGCAGTTCCAGCACGTTTATGTGGGAGGCCAGTGTTCTCTTGTAGCTTCTATAAACAATGAAAATCAGAACTCAACAACTAAATAAAAGTCAGCTCCTTATGAGGTGGATCTGCTGCGTTGTATTCTCAATTACTGGTATAGTTACTGCAGTTACTATGTACCTAAACAGATAAACAGGGACAGATGGTTGTCCTCATTTCCTAAACACAGAATTAATAATCAAAGGAATCCTCCATTAACACCGTCTGGTCTACCAGGATGAAGGAGCATCCTTTCAGTATTTTCTATTTTTGCTCTTCTAAATATGCTTCCGGCTCCACGCTTTCAGATAAATCAAAGACCTATTTTCCCTTCTCACAGTGTGAACTGGCAGCGGGGCAGCTCCGCTCTGGCGGGAGACAGTTTAGGCTTTATTAGCTACAGTTCAACAGTCTTGTTTTAGTTCCTCTGTAGGAAATTAGAACTTGTTAGTTATACGCAGACACTGAGTTGTGATGAAACCATAAGATTTAGCACATTTGTTTATCCCGTGAATAATGTTGCCACTTGTACCCTCCATCATTGCCATTCCACAGTCAGAACCAACTAAGAACTGCCACCCTGTCACTATGGCAACAATCCAGGGGAGAAACTAAAAGGAGCAGGGCTTCGTAAGCCTCGTGGCAAAAACATCCAGGGAGTTAGTTCTTCTAGACTGTTTTTTATCTGCTGCATATTTGTTCTGTTTTTTACCTGAAACAGACGTTATTAGTGAATATGAGCCAAACCCATGAAGCACTTTAAATCATGTTCTATGTGTAGGCCACGACCCTCCAGGAGCCACACACTGATGTGAAAAAGCTGGATGGCCGCTGTCTTGTCTGGAAGAGGCATTAATGTTAATGTTTGTGTCAGCAAACAACGAGGATCTAAAGCTGCTTCAGCGCTGCCCCCCCACCCCCCACCCATCAGGTTTAGTTGGTTACAGAGTGGCGAAAAAATCAGGCCACGGACTGAGTGTAGTGACATCATCACCTAGCATCAGGCCCACAGGATGAAGGAGTCTGGAGACACTGGGCTGTGGTCTACTCACATGTTGGTGTTGGGTGTAACAGAATGACGTGTCTTTAACGTTTTACAGTAGTGGTAATTTGATGTTTGTTGACGTTGAGACAAATGATGTGTGTCGTAGGGCTGGGCGATATGGCCTCAAATTTATATTGCGATATAATCTGAAGCATGTGCGGTAACGATATATATTGCGATATATTTTTTCCTCTGTTTATATATGTCAACATGACATGCTTTTAAATATCCTCATGTGGCAAATATAGGCCACATGAGGCATATAGGCCTCCTCCTCCGCCCACTCCATGCCTTGCAGTCACTCCATTCTGTTGTCCCAATGTCAGCAGGGTGCACATCTTAGTGATGTCATGTGTTATTGCGATATCACGGTATTGCGATATAGCCAAAAACTCTATCATCACCCAATTTTGTATCCTTTCTACCTTATACCGTTTATATTGCCCACCCCTAGTGTGTCGCTCTCCTCCGTCCTCATGATGCTCCCAACACTTACACCTAAACTGGTCATTGACATTTGGGACAGGAGGGTCCGTCTGACCCCCAAACACACCTTAGTAGGAGGGAGTGTGCAGCTACTGCACACGTTAGCTAAGGATGGCTGTAACATGCAGCCTTAATTCTGACACAATCAAAGAAAATTCTGTCTAGATGAGTTTTTTACAGTCCTGACGGGATGCTACAGTAGAGTTAAAGCTGTTTTAGCCCATTTGTAACACAAACCTCAGAACTTCCTAGTTAGTCCTTTACTCCAGGATGTAGTGCAGTTTGTT